TATGGAAAATATCTTAATAGAATAAGTTATATAGAAAAATTGAATTCTATTAACTTTTTCTACTGAATATTTTCTATTAAACATTTCAATAGAATCGGCCAAAAACTAATAGAATAGTTCAATAGAAATTCAATGGAATTTTCTAACGAATTCGATAGGTTTTTCTATTAAATTTTTTCGTCCGTGTAGCTCAATATATCCTCAATACAGCAGCGAAGCGGTAAAACGGTTCAAGTCAAATTAGACTATTGGCCATTTTCAATGAATATCTCGAAATGTAAACGAGATACCAAAATTTTTATCGTTACCTTTTTTGTAGCCCTCAATTGGCTTTTAAAAAAGGTGATTACAAAAACTTCGTGATCTCTCTTTTATCCGGAGATATACTCCGAAAACTCCGATAAGCGCTGAGTCGACTTGAACCGTTCTACCGCTTCGCTACTGAATAGTTCTCGAAGTTTCGCATCAAAAAGGTTACCTGACGTTTTCCTCAAAGTTTTTGTAAGAATTTCGGCTCCCAGATACTCCCCTACTCAGCGAAGATTGAAATTATGATTCGAATCGTTTCTCCACTGATGCATTCTTCAGGAAAATCGTGAACTCGGATAAGTGGTCATTTATTTCTCCAGAAGTGCTAACAAACATATTTTCCGAGAGATTCATGTATCTCAGCTCAAGATTTCGTTGTTGAATTTTCAATTTATCCCCGAGATTAGTGGTATCGGGTCAACAAACCAGAAAATCTTTCTTCGGCCCTCGGAATTTCCTGGAACAAAGGTCTCTTGATAAACTCGCCAACCCCTCCATTCCGAAGATATTGAGAGAACGACATGCATCAAAGTGGACTTCCTGAAAATGTAATGGATGGATGAATTGTATCAGCACTAAAACTAATATCCTCCCTAGCCATTAACTTAACATCTTCCAAATACCTTGTCTTCACGGAGAGAAAAATTCACTAAAAATTACCAGAAAAAAACGTAAAAATTACGTTTCGAAACGTAATCCACGAGCGAAGTAAAATTCAGTAGCGAAGTGGTAAAGCGGTTTAAGTCGACTTATCTCCCAGTTGAGTTTTTGAAGAATATTTCCGAATCTAAAGGAGATTTCTAAGGGAGATTTTTGTAATTTCATTTGTTGTAACACTCAATCGACTCTACAAAAAAGGTTATATCAAAGAATCGTTTCGTCAGTAATTTTTTTAATTCTAATGAATTAAAAAGGTGATTAATAAAGGTCCAGGTGACCTTAAAGGTGATTTAATAATCACCTTTTTCAAGGACTGCTCCTTATATAGGGGAGACTAGTGTCCTACTCTTGGATGGTATCCGAGTCGTACTTTCTGTATTGTTTTTATGACAATTATTGAAAAATCACGTTGCGACGGCTTTGAAAATTAGATGAGAACACATCATCCAATTTTTTCCTTGACAGACGGATGATCCATTTTCGAGAAATATACGCCTAAAAAAATTAAGATTTATTTTGAAACTTAGGATCTCAAATTAAGACTTTTAACAGCTTCAAGTCGAGACTTGTGAAAGTCTCAAGTTGGGACTTTTGAAGCTCCCTTAGAAAAAAAATTTTATTTCGGTTCCGAATGTCTTAACTTGAGGCATTTAAAAGTATTAACTTGAGAGAAAGCTAGAAGGAAATTTTCGACATAAACTGTTGGGTAGCCTCGTGTACTGCGCCCTGATTGGCTGGCATCGGAAAAAAAAATATTCAGTAAAATTTTAAAGTTCCAGATTTTTCCGCTCTTAATCGAATTTAATATCACTTTCCTGAAAATTGTTAGTCAATAGCTCATGAAATTTACTTTTTATTTTTTCTAACAAATTTTTTTGTCTTGCATATCCTTCGGATTTTTACGATTTGTTCCCTTACCACCCCCAACCCCCTGTACCGCATTCGGCGAAGGACAAGGGAAAACCTCACTTAAAGGAAATTCCTTCCCAGGTACAGTCCCGCTCAACAATGAAACCACGAGATTTAGAGTGCCACAAATTTTGCCCGGCCAGCCGGGAATCGAACCCGGGTCCCTCGCATACCAATCCCACACTCTAACGACACAGCCACCGCCGTCGTTTCTTTTTCTAATAATATTAGACCTCAAAAAACGGTCTTTTCACGGAAAGGAAAATTCTGAATGGACTTCAATTATCGAGTAGCGTATTGGCCTCCCTGGAAGTTTTCCCGGAGTTCTACTATCAGATTGAAAAATGCAGGCACCTGGACCTAAAATTCGGAGGCTATTCATGTATCGGATTATAACCCAACGCATACGGAGAAAAAGGAAACGGAGAGGAATTTAGATCTCAGGACTTATGCCTTAGACTCGTACGTGGAACGCCGCTGGTTTGGAAAATACCGGCATTTTCACTGACAAAACCGGCGTTTTTACTGGCTTTCTGAAATGCCGGCTTTCTCAGTGAAAACGCCGGTTTTTGCCGGTCGAGGGGCGTCCCACCAGTGGATATTAGGGAAAACACCATTTCCTTCTTTCCCTGCATTCAACATCATCCTTCTTAGAATATATATTACTCGGGTTTTCCGGAATTTTACAGCTGAAAGAGGAGAGCATCGTTCCGGTAAAATCTCAGGAATAGAGACGTGAGAAATTTGAAGGGACGGAGAAAAAAAACTGTTTGAACACAGAGACAATTTTTTTCGATTTTCAGGAACATGTCCCTAATTTGAAGAGATATGTCACTAGTTCTCTCAGTGAAAACGACGAGTTTACCAGCCGAGGGGCGCCCCACCGGTCGATCTCAGGGAAAACACCATTTCCTTTTTCCCTGCGTTTAACTTTATCCTTCTTAAAATATGTTTCCGAGAAAAAAAAATTGTATTAAAATATAGAAGTGAAAAACGCAAGAATTAAATAACACAGTCCTACATAATTCCGCCTTTTTTTAAACAGGGATGAGACTGCCACCACTCGAAAGATTTTTGCACGCTGATTTCAAATCCGCAGGGAAAATCTCATAAAGTGACCTAGTTTCTGAGAGAAAAATGTTAAAGTTCTGAAAACGACCCGCAATCGCTTTTTTCCAATTTAATTAGAAAATAAGGCCTTTGTCGATTGAGCTGAGAAAAAACGAAAAGAACCGAAATTTGAGTTTTAAATAAGGTAGAGTAGTTTTAATCAAAAGCAGGAAATTATTCATAATAAATTCCGCATTTTTTCAGTAAAATTGCTGAAGTTGCACTGCCACGTGGGATTTCGCCACCGGATTTAATCCTAGTTTGGTCGCCGCAACGCGTCGTTTTTCATTAATTACCATTGACTGGATAACCGGAAAAATGAATAAAAATCGACTTTTTCAATTGAAGTGTATAGTACATTATAGTGGTTTCAGAACAACCTAATTTCGAAAATTCCATAAGAAAATAAATTATTTCCAACAGTATTTATTTTCCAATGTTCAATAAAATGGCCCGTCACGCAACGTTGCCGGAAACTCGCTAAACGTGCCCGGGCAGTGTAGAGTAAATTCGGCAACGTTAAAGCCTAAATAACACGGCGACACATTCCCCCGGACATGACCAAGTCTCAACTCTAAGCGATGTAAAATAACGATAAAAAAAAAGAGAGAAAAACGTAGAGAAAGGTCGCAACTCCATACGAAATGTTTCTATTACATGTGGCAGTGGGTCGTATAGGATCAAACCTATAGAAATTGTATGGAAATAATTTGTATAAAAAATATCCGTATAGAAATATCCGAATATCATATAGAAATTCTATACGCAATCGGTATAGAAAATTTCCATACGATTTTTTCACCCGGAAAAGAGAAAAAAAACATGTCAAGAAAAGCGCTCAAAATAAATGCAATAAATGCGATTTTACTGAAAATGTGCGGAATGTATTATGAATAATTTCCTGCTTTTGATTAAAACTACTCTACCCCATCTAGAACTAAAATTTCTGGCATTCTCGTTGTTTTTTTCGCAACTCAATCGACACAGACAATATTTCTTAATTAAATTTTGAAAAAGGTGATTTTGGGCCCTTTTGAGGACTTTAACATTTTTTTTTTCAGACACTAGGCCATTTTAGGAGACTTGGCCTGTGGATTTGAAATGAGCGTGCAAAAATGTTTCGAGTGGTGGCAATCTCACTCCTGTGCCAAAAAAGTGAGTTTTGTAGGGCTGCAATCAATGAATGATGAAACAGTCATTGAATGTCGAAAAAATATTATAGATCTTTAGATGCCATTGGCGGAAATTATTAGCTGGATAGAATATTTTGAGGAAGTTTTAATTTGCAGGGACATTTTAAGGAATCTATCACCAATTATTAGGTATTCGTGATTGTGAAACTCGGTGAGTGACAAATTCTGAAATTCAGCGATTTTATCACTGATATTTAGTGACATTGTCACCAATTTTGAGGAGTCTATTATCAAATTTCAGTGATAGAAATCACTAATAATCAAGATTATTCCAGCCAGTGTCCAGTACAACAAAGATGTTCCTGAAAATCAAATAAATTTTTTTTCTGTTTTGTGAAATAGAATTTTCTCGCCGTCCCTTCAAATATCCCTAAATGCCTCTATTGCCGAAATTTTCCCGAAACAAGAGAGAAAAGAGCACTTCTCTCCGATCTAAAATTTCAGACCACAAGAATGAAATTATGAAAATCTCTGGAAAATTACATCATACTGCCGCGCTCCTCTCAAATAGATATTTCTCTCCGTCCCTTCAAATACCTTGGCCATATCTATTCCCGAAATGATACTTTCCTCTCTCTGCTCTAAAATTCCAGAAAACCGGGGTAAAATGATCAAAATCTCTCAAAAATTGCGTCATCCTGCCGAGCCCCTCTCAAATATCCCGGGGCACACCAGGCGGCAGCACAATCCACTCTCCTCTCCCCCTGTTTTACCATCGGAGGCCCCCAAATTGATTACGTAATCCACCCATCAGCAAAATCTTTAAACTCAAGGTCATTGCATTATCCAATCGACTAAAATTGAAAATGAAAAATAATGACTTAATCCGCAACTCCTGAAAACCCCCCGAATCCCGTATTTCCAGTTCATTATTTTTTCCCTAATGAAGGGAGCAAAAATAGAAAAGGAAAACGTCGAAAGCTAGTAGCCCTAAAGACCAGAGTGAGACAGTAACAGTTGGAGGTCAGTGGTAGGTCACAGAAAATCAGTCTACGCTGAACATTCAAGCTCGACTGTCACGTTTTTCCATTAGAGGTAAGAATAACTCGTCAATTGACTAAATTATCAACAATGAAGATTCTAAACAAATTAATTGAATAATGGCAAATGATTTTTAATTATTTACTCAACTGCCGGCATTTTCAGTCCGGCATTTTACCCAAATTTCGTCATACGACAGAAGTTGCATCGATTTTACGGATAATGCGAGTGTTACGAGCCGGACTGAGGATTTTGGCACGAGATAATTCGCCGAGGTCATTTTCACATTGCAGAAATCACTTTAACACTTGAATTATCAGTCAAATCCACTGAGATATTGATCAAGAATGTCTTGATGTTTGGAATGAATTTTTAGAGAGTAAATTTGACCTTCAGAAGGTCAAATTATTTTTCAACAATTTGCATGATTTTTATTTGGGGTTCTGATGAATTAGTGTTCATAGCGTCGTGGCGAGGGCTCAGGGGTCATCTTGGGGTTTTAAGGGGAGATGCATTGGGTTATGGATGAGGGAAATGACGTGATAGGGATGGGTGATCGATTCGTCTGATGGTGAGCAAGATTTAGACAATGGACAATTTTTTTTCTGCTTCAGAATCCTAACCTCGAGGTACAGTTTTAGTACAATGTCGATCCAGAGCATCAAAGCACGCCAAATCTACGACTCTCGTGGTAATCCCACTGTTGAGGTAATTAATTTTTTTGGTTATTTTGGGGGAGGGGAGGACATGAACATTTTGGAACATTTTTGCTAATGAATGAGTGGGTTTAAGTCATTGTTCGTTCACTGAGAAAAAAATTATTTTTGCCAAATATCCATTTAGTTGAGAGACGTATTTGTTTTTTCAATATCGTATTTTATACAAATTATTTCTATGCGATTTCTATAGATTTGATCCTATACGACCCACTGTCACATGTATAGAAACATTTCGTATGGAGTTGCGACATTTCTCTACGTTTTTCTCTGGAGCGTTTAGACATCTTTCGTATGAAAACAAAAATTTATGTATAGAAATAATTTGTACAGAAAATATTTGTATAGAAATATCCGAATATCACATACGGAAATCCTATAGAATTTCTATACGCAATCCGTATAGAAAATTTCTGTACGATTTTTTCATACGTGCATGACGCCCTGGTAACCCTCCTTAGGTTTCAATTTCACAATGGTTAGTTATGACATTGAGTGAATTACCTCAGTAATTATCGACATTGAAAAATTAATCGAAATTCTTCCCTCTAGAAAACAAGAAATTTAGGAAAAAATGAATAGTCATTAGAGTTCGTTCAAGGTCATGTGCAACATAGTCATCGAGGTCTAGAGCAACATGATTTTTATAATTGAACCCTAATCAGGCTCGCCTGGGAATGACTCGATTGGAGAACTACGATTTTGAATAAAATAAATGCTTCTCTTAAGTAAATAAATATTTGGCAAAAATGATTTTTCTTCTCGGTGTTGTTCAATTTCAGTTTCTAATTTTTCTGTTGAAAACTCTTGATTGAAATTTCCGGTAGAGTTCTGGGATATTTTTATCACATTATAGATCCACTGAAAAAATCTCGTCGTTGAAAATTCAAAATTTTATGGATAATTTATGAAAATTTGGAATTGTATTGAATTTTCAGCGATATTTGAAATCTCACCATAGGGAACTTGCATGAAGCTCGATTCTTTCTAATTCCCCTATTCACACATTCCTGATAATATATGGATAGCTAAACGGCGAAAATTATGGAAAAATATTTCCTAGATGTCTTATGATAATTAATGAAAATCAGTCGTTTTCGAGGCCAATTTTTCGGTCATGACGTCACGAAGACGGTCAGGTAACGCTTCATTGGTTGCAAAAGAAGAGAGTGAGGAGTTGTCGTCCTCCATTGGCCGAAGCGCACCTCAAGATTGGGTTGGATCGGCTCAAGCCATTCTGTGATTGGTCCAGCACTCGACCGTCTGTGTGACGTCATTAGCGATTTCAGAGCGCTTGAAATCTCCAACTTTTAACAATTAACTATTTATGAGCAATATTTCAAACGTTTCCGAATGAAAAATGAATTATTCGGGGCCCAAACTTGAGATCAGAAAATTGAAAAAAATTCATGCAATTTCCCTATTGTCTCCTCCAGATAGAAGTCGATGTGACTTTCCTGAAAATTGCTTAACTGCCCATGAAATTTCAATTGTTTTTCAACAGTCTAACTAAATATGATCTAAAAAGCCAGAATATGCGATTTTTACATATTGTTTATTTGTATGTAACTGTGTACTCTTGTGAGTGTGTGTATGTTTCAAAATTCCATGAATTTTTTCCTGATTACAAACTAATGAGCGTTATCTAAAGGCATCAATTAAAATTCAATTTGTCATAGTTTCCACGACACATTTTTTTTTATTTTCTATATCCATTGTTCAACGATCACTCACAAAATCATTAGATCAAACGGCATTTAATCGTGGCTTGAAAAAAATAATGTTAGACTTTTGATTTTCTCAAAATATAATGGGAACAGCATCAGTCACTACTGAATTACGCCGTTCCGTTCCAACGAGGTAAATTATATTCATCTGGAATTCATATAGGATGCTCATAAATACAGTTGGATTATACTTAAATTAGAAAGAGCGGGTATTAAATTCCGGCTAGGTGGTGCGGGATTTTCCCTCAAAATTCTAATTCTCTTTGAATTTATTTAATGCCTAGGCGGTGTTGTGAGGCGAATTTGAATCTGAATTTTTCACAGATGAAATCCCTTGGAGCATATTTCCATTTTTTTTTAAATCGGGTTTTCCGTGGTTTCTGTAGAAAATATCATTGAAATGAAACAAATTATACCCCAGAAAATCCTTCCAATCTTTCCTTAATTAGGTTGAAAGGTGCACAAAGGGGAAAAGTTTCTAATTTTCACCAAAATCTTTGGACTTTCGGCTCTGCGGTACCGAAATCTCGACAGCAAAAAGTCCTAGATTTAAGATGTAACGGTACTCCGTGCATGTGTTGAATTTTAGAATCGTCTTCGTGTCTCCAGTTATTAATTCGTGGAAACAAAAAAAAATTCAGGCACTGAAGGATTTAGTACTGGAGTGATTGCAGTTTTTTGGTTTCACAAAAATTAATAACTATGAACACTAGGACGATTCTGAAATTCAACACATGCGAGGGGTACTGTCACCGCTTACGGACAGAAATATTCAATAAAAATTACGTATCTTTTCGTAATTCCGGAGCGAAATGTGGTTGTAGGAAATTTTAGGGAACGGTCATCTAATTTTTACCTAAAATCACGGATTTTTTCATTGAAATTAAAAAATAGTAAAATAATTGATAATCTAAATTTCCAATTGATGATGATTTAAATATTTATTAATATAGAACTGGAAATTTTCTATTAAATAAATAATACTAAATTTCTTATAAAAGATTTTCGATTATCCGAATAATCGTCAATTTTCCTAACTAAATTACTAATTAATAAATAATTCGGAATTTGAATATTTAAATTGATGATTACTTCAATCATTAAAATTTAAGATTGATATTAACGAATTGACTGCTTAATAATTTAACGACAATTACAATTTATCGATATGGCTCTTTCTGGAAATAATTCGTTTCCTTTAGACATTTCAAGAATTATGTTGTTCCAAAACTATTACAATTTTCTACACACTTCAATTGAAAAAATCATTTAAAAAAATTTTTCCGAGTAGCCAATCAATGGAAATTAATAAAGATGAACGATAGGAGCCAATTTAAATAGCGTTTCAAGGTGTCTACAGAATTTCCCAACATTTCTTTTTGTTTTCGTTGATTTTAGGTCGATCTTGTGACTGAGAATGGTCTCTTCAGGGCAGCAGTCCCTTCTGGTGCATCCACCGGAGTCCACGAGGCTCTAGAGCTTCGTGACAACGACAAATCCAAGTACCATGGAAAGTCCGTCTTCAAGGCTGTTGACAACATCAACTCCATTATTGCTCCCGAGTTATTGAAGGTAAATGAGTCATAAGTTATTGTCCGAGTAGAATTTTTTATCATACATTTTTTCACTTAGAATAGTTTTGATAATTGGGTGTAGTTTCTGGGTCGTGAAACAAACCCTTCTTTCTCGTATAATTTTTTAATTGAATAGGGTCAGTATAAAAATGAATAATAAAACACAAAAAAAATATATACCTAAGGTGAAAAATTTATGGTTATTGGAGGAACAAATGCGACACTTCACTGAATTATCTTTTTGAAAATTAACAGTAATGTTGAGAATATTTGTAATTTTCAGTCGGGTTTGCAAGTAACTCAACAAACAGACATCGACAACCTCCTGCTGAAGATCGATGGCACACCCAACAAGTCGAAGCTGGGAGCCAATGCTATTCTTGGTGTTTCTCTGGCTGTTTGCAAGGCTGGAGCCGCCAAGAAAGGCATTCCACTTTACAAGTGAGTTCCAAACTCTTGTTTTTTCCTCGGAATAATTAGAAACATTTATGAGGCAAGTCAATCATCGAAATCACTGTCATCATCATGATCAATTGTATAAAGAATTTAAAGCCTTTTGATGTAAATCAAAAACATTGAGTGATATTCATTCAGTTTTCACATTTAATTTTATACCAATTTCTCACGGAAATTTTCAACTTTTTGATTATTAGAGAAATATCTCTGAAACTAATGAAACTGGTGAAAACAATGTGAGAAAAACAGACGTTTCAAACTCTTTAGTCAGTTCGTTTACAACAAAAATAGAAAATGACATGAATTTTGGTTTGAACTATATGAAGCATAATTATATTTGCTTCAAAAATGATCATGAAAACCTGAAGTATTCTAACGGGAAATGATATTAAAACTTTCCTAATAAATTGTCTAATACAGTAGGAAGCTATTTTTTTAAATTCCAAAATTTTCGTCCTAAATGGAATTAAATGTCGTTCTTCTTGAAATCGAGCCCTTCTGTTAACAAGTCTGAAAGGGGCTGAATATCACTGGGATTCGATAACTTCTGACGAACGAAAAATTATGAAATATAGGAAATTGAAACTGCTCTAATTAGCTTTCCAATGAAGTGCGTAAAATTGCATTATCTGTCATAGTTTAGGAATTATTTCATTTCTAAAAGAGTCATGCGTTTTCGTTTGAGTACATATGACATATAGACGTCGTACTTGAGGGGTTGAAGGTTCATGTGAACGGTCTTTTCCATAGCTCAGGACAATTTTCCACTAAATAAGTCTTTTGAAGTTTTTCCTTGAAACTATTCAGCTTGTAAAAGGTCGCCTATAATTGGCAAATATTTAAAAAATTCAGGATGTTTTGAATTGTTCCGCAAATAGATTTGAGATCAACGGGTTCAAAAAAAAAAATTGAGAGAGACCTCTTCTCTAACTCTTGAAATTTTCTAGGTAAAAAGTCTGAGTTGAAGACGTATTGAAGAAAAATTGATTCTACATAGAGTCTTCTCTTATTTTTTATTAAATTGAATTGTCGATGTGATTCTCAGATACATTGCTGAACTCGCTGACAACAAGGAGATCATCCTGCCTACCCCAGCCTTCAACGTAATCAACGGTGGGTCCCACGCTGGTAATAAATTAGCCATGCAGGAGTTTATGATCCTTCCAGTTGGAGCTGCCAATTTTACGGAGGCCATGAAAATGGGCAGTGAAGTTTACCACCACCTCAAGAATATCATCAAGAAGAAGTTTGGTCTTGATGCCACAGCTGTTGGTGACGAGGGTGGCTTCGCTCCCAATATTCTCGACAACAAGGAGGGATTGAACTTGATCAATGAAGCTATCAAGGTATTAGAATAATTATTATACAAAATGAAACCCAATAGTTCGCACAAAATGCCAGGAGACTGTTTTTGTAGGGAGTTTCCTTGGGTATAAGAATGGTTTCTTGGGATTATGTAGAAGTAAAACAACATAAGTTTACTCAACTCAATCTTTGAACGTCAGAACAATGAAAAATTATCAACTGTAATACCCCAAGACCTTTAATGTTTCCCTGCCTATCAACAATAGGGATAAGTTTTGCATATAAAACCTGTACATTTTTCAGATTGAGGGATATTCGCGGGATGCCCCTCGATCGAGAAATACCCACAGATCCCATAGAAATTCTATATAATTCTATTTCCCTTGTCTATAGAATATTGTCCATTGAAAATTTCTATTTAAAAAACGCGCAGATAATCTACGGAATTTTTCAACCGCATCGACCAGACACTGGTACAAATTCCAATAGAAATGCAATTGAATTTTTAGTGAATTTTCTATAAATTGTTTTCACAACCGCACTGTAAGAACTGCTTTTTCCCTAGTCCTTGGCTAGTAATAACTGTTCATTTGCGTTAAATTTCCTTTATTTCTCAAGGTCGCAGGATACGAAGGAAAGATCAAGATTGGCATGGACGTGGCAGCTTCAGAGTTCCACAAGGCCGGAAAGTACGACTTGGACTTCAAGAACGAGAAGTCCGACCCTGCCACCTACCTCGAGCCTAAGGCACTCGAAGCTCTTTACCTGGACTTCGTGAAGGAATACCCAATCGTCTCGATTGAGGATCCCTTCGACCAGGATGGCTGGGACTCCTGGACTTCCATCACTGCAGCCACACCCATCCAAATCGTTGGTGATGACTTGACTGTCACCAACCCAATCAGGTAATCATGAAAAAATTGATTTACGAGAATTCATTAAAAGACGTTGATATTTATATAAGATTCACAATTTCGAGAACTTCTTGTTTTATGGTAAAACAAAGAGTTTGTTGTAAAAGTTGAATTTCAAAAAACTAATTCGTAATTGTTATTAGACACATTTTTTCTAAAATTTTGAAAAAATAAAACCTCTATAGCTCAAAAATTGGAGGCCCAGGATTATTTTCAACATTTTAAGCATCTCCAGAGCAAACGAATAATAAACAATTAATTTATTTGCACTAATTATTCATTTGTAGACATATAATCGATCGAGTTTGCGAAAAACTTTTTGCAAACTTGTTTAATTGATAACTGAGTTTCTTAAATGTTGAAGAATTATTCAACTCTTCTTTCCTTTCATTTGTATTTATCCAGAATCAAGACCGCAATTGAGAAGAAGGCCTGCAACTGTCTCCTCCTGAAGGTCAACCAGATCGGCAGTGTAACTGAGTCAATAAATGCTCACAAGCTCGCAAAGAGCGCAGGATGGGGCACAATGGTGTCTCATCGTTCAGGAGAGACTGAGGACACATTCATCGCTGACTTGGTCGTTGGTTTGTCCACTGGACAGATCAAGACAGGTGCCCCCTGTCGCTCCGAGCGATTGGCCAAGTACAACCAGATCCTTCGTATCGAAGAGGAACTCGGAGCTGCTGCCAAGTACGCTGGCGAGAAATTCCGCAACCCCACGGCTTAAACAGCCTTCACACATCAATATCACTCCAAAAATGTTAATTGATCGAGCGCAGCAATGGGAGATATTCTGAAGTAATCATCATTTTCAATGAGTGAAAATACCACTTGGACACTTTGTGGTTAAACGAACGAAGATTCAGATTCAGCCATTAGTGCGATTTCTCGCGCACGATTTCGTTAGTTACCTACTCGCATCTAGAATGATAATTAACTCATTTAATTGAAAATTATAATATTTCAAGTTGAATTTGAACGAAATGGCGAAACGAGAAAACTTGCAAAGTTTCGAGCAGAGTTTTTTGTGAATATCCACGAAATTCCACGAAAAAGAAGCTTTTGAAGAAAATATGAACAGAAATAATTCGTAGGAAATTGAATTTTCTATGAAAAATATTCTGAGATATTTCTCCAAGGAGATATGCTCAAAATAATCTGTTGATGCGCTCTGTAATGTTTTCTTTTATCATTCGATGGTTGAAATTGAATCATCTTTGTTCTCTTTCGTTTCAATGCAGGAAAGGTTCAATGTTTATGAGCATGTGATTTATGACATTGGATTATATCAAATTCTTGGATGAAAATTGAGCCGGGTGCTCAAGCTTCAGTAATTATCGAACATTGAAGGATAATAACATGTTGAGATTTCGTGAGTTCCATGATAGTAAGAATTGTTGTCTAGAGATCGATGGCATTGATTTAATAAAGTGAAAATGAAAAATTGTCTTGGCTTTTTATTGCAAAAATTGTTAGCACTGAAGTGTGAAGATTTCTATTTACTGCACAGGTCATCGTACGATAACTCGTGAGGATTCTCGTCAGTTGGGGGAGGATTAATACTTCAGCCCTGTCATAAGGTATTTGGGGTGAAATTAAAAAGACACTTTCCTGCAGAAAGGCACGAGATAAAAAATAACGGAATAGAAAGAGACAATCACACATGAAAACAGTTGAGAGGTAGAAAAAGAGCAAATACGTAACAATACTTACCTGTATACTAACTTGGGTTTTCTCATTCCACTACCAAATTTATTACTACCAGTTTGACGGCGCGCTTCCGCGCGCCTCTATAAGTGAAAATCGATGAAAGAGACGACAGGTTTTTGAGATATCTGCGATATCGATTCGATATTTGTGGTACAACTTTCGAAAAATGACGTCATGACGTGCGTGTGTCTTTTAAATAAAGAATATATATATAGAATAGGCCTGGTTGAATGCTATATTGATTTATTTATTCCTAGTATTCGACCTAAAAGTACAAATTTGAACATTTGAAACTCAAAATTTGTTCTCTTTCGATAAATTCCGAACAATCTTGTTTATACTAAACATTAAACTCTCGCATTAATTACCACTAGTTAAAATTTGATCATCAGTCTTTCTACACCTCTGAATACGATTTACCGTCAAATAAGAGCCTTAATTCTAGAAATCACATTTTTTCATCTTAAAGATGGAATAAAAACTTATAATCAAGCTTCTGCGTTCATGAGATGTTGCTTCTGGCTCCTCCTCCTCTTTATCCAGAGCACATTTCCATCCTGCAAACAACAACCACAAGGATGAAACAACGCATAACAATAATAATTCGGGCTGAGGTAACAATAGCGATAATAACGCAGTAAGGAAAGAGCCTATATCGCGTTAATCCCCCAGTAACTACTACTCTCCCGGTTTCTGCCACCCTCAGCGATTTTTTAATGGGTAGAATGTAAAATTTACCGAGGAGGAGTGAACAAATCATCGCAGTGCAAAAGGAATTTTCTATTCCTCCAGTCAGAAAAAATGGTCATAAAATTACGAACATTGAAAATGAGCTGCACCCAAAACAAGTTGGTATAAACCCCAGAAAGGCCCACATTATGAAAATTCAAAGATGGTATATGAATGTGGAGAATAAATATGAAAATCCTTCCCGTAATTCCGGAGCGAAATGTGGTTGTAGGAAATTTTACGGAACTGTCACGTAATTTTTACATAAAATCACGGAATTTTTCCAGATCGTTGCGTCAATCTCCTGCGAAAAATTACGATACCGTCACTTAAATTTTCTGAGTCGATTTCGTAATCGGTGAGCGAACTGTGAGTTCCGTAATTTTTACTGCACATTTCTCTGCGTGTAGACGTATTCACGTGAAATTACGATTGTATCAATGATACAGCCACCGGCAGATTTTATACAGAAAATGAAAAAAAAGCAAAGTGGTGATGCATTCGATTCAAAAAATTTTCTTCCAACAGTACCAATTCCACATAAATTATTTCTTCTGAATACATCACGAACTAGGTGACGTATTCAGTCCCACTTTTTGTTCCCACTTTTGAAATTTCTTTGGCGAAATGTTAATGCTAATAAGAATGATCTATGCAACGCAGAGTGAACCATTTCTCTTTTTTTTTTCCATTGAAAGCCCTTTCTACTGATATTTTCCCCGTAAATATTAACTTTGCATCTTGTGTGGGCTGGCATTAGACTTCCAACACCGCAACCGGTAATGAAGCCCTCATCTCCTAAATCTCCATAAAATCCAACGATACACTCAAAATGCGCAATTAATTATTCATTTCCATTATCCCTAAACGAGGAAGTAAAGAAGAATCTTTTCCCCTCACCTTGAAGTAATCCTCGATATCCTCGAGTGTGCGGTTTCTCGTTTCGGGTAGTGCTAGCCAGATAAAGAGACCCTCTAAAATTGCTGATATCCCGAAGATCCCGAAGACCCCAGCCATACCTACCATAGCCTTCACCTAGGATTTTGCATGGAAATATCAACCAAGGTTATTACGCAATTTCGATGCTGTGAGATTTTACCTCCACTTTGGATAATAAAGCAGTGATACCTACCACAGGGAAGACCTTGGTTACTCCGAATAAACCGAAATTGTAGACGAACATAGTGAAACCACCGCCAATACCTCGGGCACGTTGAGGAAGTAATTCACCGATTAAGAGGCCAGGTAGTGTCATCAGTCCAATTGTGTTAAAACTTACGTATAGTAATAGACAGACTCCAACTATGTATGTCTAGGGGAGAATTGAAACAAAATTATAAATACTTGAATTATAAAAAAATATATATAAATATGCTTGAATTGAGATTATTTTATACCAGAATCAAATACACTGTGAGAAAAAAAATGAAATTCCATGGACATGAATTGGAGTTGACTACCAATTTTCAGGACAGTGACACTGAATGCGATTTATTAATTCAGCAAAATTCCAGAATTTTAAAGGTCATTAAGATGAGAATTCCTTAATTTATTGGAATTTCCAATCTAATATGAATATTCAGTGTCAAATTGCATTGAATTTTTAGTGAAATCTGAAATTTCCTGATTTTCTTCCCCCTAAATCGCAGTCAGCGTCACTGTCCTGAAAATTCAAGAATATATTTTCCAGAATTTTCTAGTTTTCTATTCATTTTCAGGGAAAAATGAAATCGATGAAATGAAATCGAAATGAAAAATGGAATCGAAATTCACAGTTCTGTTTGATTTTTCCACGAAATTCTGAATTTTCAATTATACGATTTCCTGAAATTTCAGTGGAATTGCAACACGATAAAAATTTCGGGAATTTGGCACGGAAAATTCAGTCAAAAATTTTTAACTGTGTACATGCATAAATCTGATTCAAGTGTATTTTATCAAGAAGTCCCGTGAGATTTGTTATGATTTTTGTACAGAACTTTTCTTCGCTTCAAGAATCTCTCTCAACATTTGTGTAAAAAATGCTCATAACTAAGATAATTAACAAATTAAAATTATTGTGCACATGAATCTGTTGGAATCGTCAACTTTCTGTTCTAAATTCAGGCATTAAAACTTGAAAATTGTTGAACGTCTTCACCGGTTCCAGGGTTTTTCTCTATTTACTATTTTTAGTATTCTTCCATCGTATCCATTACTTACACTAATGAAAGAGTCACCACTGTTGAATAAGATATACCCAGCGAGAGCAAGCGATGAGACCGCAGTACCCAATGCGGATACAATGCCAATTGTCCTTCTCCCGACCCGAAACAATAAAATGCAGGCTAATCCACAAAAGACAAATCTAATAAGAGAAGTCATCACAGCTGCCAAGTAGTTATCGATTTCCTCTCCAGCTGCATCCATAATCAATGAAATGCCGTTAATGCACGTCAAATCACGTCGTCGGGTGAATCTAAATGATGAGGAGTAAACTTACCAACATCACGGATGAGGTCGACACCATAAAAAACAATGAGATACGTGCCGGATAGCACTTGAAGGAGGAAGAATACGTTGATAACGATAAGGGGCTTCATAACGCCTGGGTGAAATACTGTTGCCTTGGCGTTTGATAGTTTTTCGGATAATGTCATCGTTATTGAGGCGCACTCGAGGACCTCTTGAATGCGTGTCTCCAGCATTGATACCTCTGATTTCACCTATTTTAATAATTCATTTTATTGAATTTTTCACATCATACATTATTGATATTCAGTCGTTGAATGCGTAAGATGGGAATAATTCAAAAGTATTTTGTAGCAATTTAAACGGGATGATGTAATTTGATGGGTTATTTGTCAGGGGCGAAGAAAAAATTCTCAGTTTTCATTAAAAATTTATAAATTTCATAATTTTTTTGTTTCTTTTGTAGTGAAATCTAGCAAATGCAGTGTTAGAAAATTACTCTTGAAATTTCAAGTCAAAAAGCTTGAAATTTTCAACAATGACAAAGTTACATGAAATTTCTGTAGAATTCTTCATTGACGGATCAGGCAATTTTTTGAATATTCAAGTAATTCTCGATTTTCAGGTCCATAGGGTACTGAAAAACCTTGAAGAATTGGAAAACTTAGACAGTAACTTCTCTGAATTTTCAAACTATTGTAAATTCAATTTCCACGATGAGTTTGAGAATTCAAGCTTTCATTGAAAAATCAATGATTCTTTAACATGAAAAATCCAATTTTCTCGAATTTTCAAGATGAATGAGAAATTTAGTGAACGTTTTCCTTTGAAATGGAATTCAAACTCACAACATTGAAAATTCAGATGACATTGTGACTGAAATTTCAAGAAATTTTTAACAGTGCGAAAAATTCGGGAAATAAGTAAAATCTAGAGTCAATTTCAAAATCACGAAGTACTTGCACCCACGGAGAGAAATATTCAATAAAAATTACGTATCTTTCCCGTAATTCCGGAGCGAAATGTAGTTGTAGGAAATTTTACGGAACTGTCATGGAATTTTTCCAGAGCGTTCCGTTTAAAAATTACGATACCGTCACTTGAATTTTCTGAGTCGATTCCGTAATCGGTGAACGAATTGTGAGTTCTGTAATTTTTACTGCACATTTCTCTCCGTGCGGTTCGCACTACGTCAGTGCACCACTGATTTCGGTGATCTCATTGAGTTCAGACGATTTCACGTGATTCCGGAGATGATTTCGAAAATGATTTCGGAGAGCTGAAATCGCTTGAGTGCAGTGCTGTCGGTGATTTCACGTGATTTCAACATGATTTCATGCCAGAGCGGCGCGTGATTTCGTGAGTGAGTATAGCCCTTTGGAAAAATGGGAATTGGTCGGGCAGTTGTTGGTTCGACACGCAACGGGAGCGAGCGAAATGAGCGACCAACAACCCAGTCGAATTTTTAGCGACAAACTTCATCGTATTTACGTTGAACTAGCGAACAGCCGCTTCGCGCCCGTCGCTAGATTAATTTATACTATATTATTTTATTTTATTTTCTTTCCATTCCCGTCTTCACAATTAGTTATTACGAATATATTTATGTTCCTTAATTCACAAGCTGCAACATTGAATGAAGAGAAATTCCCCATAAATCACGTGAGAATAGAGATAGACAAACAATTTTCAATAATCATACCTCAAATTTTTCATTTCTTTCTTTTTCTTTAAATTAATTAGTACCAATGATCTGAAAATGTCAACGAATATCAACAAATGTGAACGTATTCCGTTCACAGAAACAGGAAATACGGAAAATGTAGGGAAGGAAAATCAGAGATAAATTTTAAAAATCGATTTTTCAATCTTGAAAATTTCAAAACGTTTTTTTTTAATAACGAAACAGAACCAATGTATTTTCTTTCTATCATCTAATTCTGATGGAAGTAAGTACAAAGAGGAAGAGAACCGAGATCAACACGAAAGCAAAATTTTTAATTTTTCAATGTCTACGGAAAATTTTGAAATTGATATATTTTTTCGAATAATGAGCCAATACCCATAAATTCAATTCCTATCCTCCCATTTTGATAGAATACATAAAAAAATAGCAAATAATTCAAATCGACGATGAAAAATTTTATCGGATTATTATTATGTAATTTTCTAAAAATACATCCAATCTTTTTTGTAAACGGTAATATATACAATAACCTTTTTTACTCCCCCCCGAGCTACGTTGGGG